TTATATTGTAAAAATGGTTAAAATTGCTATTTCGAAATGTAAAACTCAAACAGCTAGAAGAGACTGATGGAATAAGAAAGTCCTTAAGATTGTTTACTTGGTAAAAAATTGCTTTCTAAAACTCGTTAGTCCCCAGAAACTTCAGCAGCATCAAGAAATTTTAATTAGCTTATCCCCAATTTGTGAACAATCACTCGTATTTTTGGGACGGCATTTTCTTACGAACTTTCTGCCATCTCAATCGTTAATTCTTATCGAAAGAACTCTAGCTGCTAATCATTGCCATTCTAACTCAGACAATTTTTTTCATTCTGCCAATGATGCAGTGCGTGTTACAGATGGGTGATATCCACGAACGTTGCTTGAATGAATGGCTTCTGCGCTCCAACAACAATGACCGTTGCGAGATTTGCCACGAGAAATACTCCAAATCAGGAAACATTCTGCAGCCAATATGGAAGTGGCAGAAGCCACATATCGAGATGACGGTAAGTTGCAAAAAAAAACATTTTTATTATTTGCTGTTGATTTTGCAGCTACAAGCACTGCCTGAAGCGCACAGAAATAAATAGCAACGCGCACCAGACAAGCCGGTGCGATCATGCGTTTTGTGCAATTCAGACCATCGAACGACTGCCTATTAATGATTTTCACTGCTTTGTACTTTAGCCTATGCAAAAATAGTTTAAACATTGGAAAACAGTTAAAAATTTCACGCAACAGCGCATGAAAGCTGAATTCGAAACCTTGAAGGGCGAATATCTTTATCCTGAGTTAATAGTTTACCGGCTAAAATTTTCACTAGCCTGTAAGTGGTACCCGAGAGCGCAAGAACGCTGAATTTGAATGCGCAAGGTTGAGCGTGGGCAGGGAGTCATTATCCCAAAATTCAAACCTCTTAGACTCCGTGGTTCCCGAGATGTTAACTTACCCGTAAAAAACTTTCACGGGGTCGTACGCGTTACCCGCGGGTACGGGGAAGCTGAATTTAAATTTGCGGGGTCACACGTGAGTGGGGAACGTTCCCCC